TTGCATTGTGGAAGTCAGTGTTCAGGCGATTGCACAAGTCCTGATGCAAAAAGGGTTTTAGTGGTTTAGGGCTCTAGGGCTTTAGGGGTTTAGGGTTTAGGGGTTTAGGGTTTAAGGTTCAGGGTCTTTGTGGTTTAGGGCTTTAGGGGTTTAGGGTTTAGTCTTAGGGGTTTGGGGTTCAGGTTTAGGGCTTTAGGGGTTTAGGGTTTAGGGGTTCGGGGTTAAGAAGGCCCCGGCTCAGAGTCCCAAAACCTTAAACAGAAGCCGTGCAGGTCGTTGCGGTGTCAGAAAACATGGCTGCCGAGCTTGGCATAGCGGCTACAGAGACGGAGACGTCTGAATTCCTGGAGACTTTTTCTGGCAACTGGCCTCCGGATACTGAAGCTATGGCGTGGGCTACTGGCCGGAGTATAGTTTCTGTTTTAGTCCCTTACTTCGTACAGGTGCCGTCCTATCATCGGGCGATGTCTGGATCTTGGGGTAGGGTGTGGCTTTTCGAGTTCTTCGGGCTGGTGTCTCCGGGCTTCTCGCTCAATTAAACTGTGAAAGTACTGCATCCAACTAGCTTTGATGTCCCTTACTGGCAGTCCCTGAACCTTAAGTTCTGACATACCTTGAAAAGACTTTAAGATCTTCTGATTTCAAACATGTCACAAACTCGGCAGAGGATCACATGCAACTTGAACCGAAGGCCATAGGCCCTGAACCCCAAACCCACCATCCTAAACCCCAGGCTACACCTTACGGCGCATCTGTCAACGGAAGCTTCTCTGCGGATTCCCCATTTGGCCTCTGGGGTGTCTTGGCGTTTTCTCGGCGGCTTCCAGGCTAATATGGGGGCCTCAAGAATTACCAATACTACTTGGGGGGTTCCTTGTTATAAATATAGTATAACGGGCCCCAAAGCCCTTTTCTAATTATTGCCCATTCTTACCGGGTGTTTCACCCGGCAAAGACGGGTTGTTGTGTACTTGCATGTGTTCTACAGACAATGACGTGTCTCCTCAGGGTAAGTGTAGCATCTCTGAAAACATGCATTGTCTCGTAGGAAAACACACATTTACATTGACAACTCCCGTCAATCCTCGGCCCAAGACAACAAACCTGGGAAGTTTCGTGTCAAAACTTGCGTGGATGAAATTCAAGTTCTGGGCACGCAAACGAGTGTGTCTACAAGACACAGCCATGGTAGTTCCCAGTAGCGAATCCCTTGCGCCTGCCGCGTAATTTGTGATTTCGTTATTGCCACTCACGCTCTCTATCCTATGAAGTCTGGGTGCTGGATCGGCGTTGCGCAAATTATCAAGGCCCCTACATTATGCCCATCGAACTACAAAGCACGAATGAACAGACGATTAATAAGAAGGCAAGGGCTGTTGAGTTCTACGTCTTGAGCCATAAACCCACACACACCCTACACCCCCAAACTCGAAACCCCTACACCGTGTCAGAAACAGAACCCTAGACGCTCAATAGACTCAACATCGTCTGAGCCTGCCACTGCCAAGCACACAGCCCGTGATATGTCTGCCGGAACGGCGGATCCTAAGAGAAATACGGCATGGGTGTTTAGAGCTTAATTGAGGTTTCAGAGATATTGGCGCAGGGGCAATCTGAAAATATGGCTTTTGCACAAGTAAGGCACAACGCTTCCGTAAGATTAGGGAGGTAGGTGTGTCCTATCTAGGTGTCCTTAAAATCAGATCCCCCGTTTAGTGAGCAGAAAGGGTTTTAAGTTGACTACCACGTTTTCCCAAACCCCCAAAAGGTGGCTTACGGTGAAAGCGCATCTCCGAGGAACAGTGCGGAAATACTAAGTTGTGTATGGCTGACAGGAAGCTCTTGAGTCCCCCATGTGGGCTCTTCAAGTACACATGAGATCTATGTCACCTACCGACGCCACCTAGTTTCAAGCCTCCAAGCAATAGAATAATCTGACCCTTAAACCGCTCAAACGGAAACCCTGAACGAGGCTACGGTGATGGCCGGGCTATGTCCATCGGCCACTTCCACGGAACTCACCACTCCTGGGAATTGCAGCTGAAAGGTGCTGGGAGCCTCTCGATGCCCTTACGCAGGGACGAAAGCTAACTGGTACGATTTGGGGTTTTGGATGTGTCGACCAAACATCCGCGGCAGGTGTATAACTTTTTCGTGGAACCATCGCGACGGACATGCGATATTTCAGAGCAAGAGAATTCCGTCACGAATGTGGAGCTCTAAATTTCCCACACCCCAAGAAACCACCCAAAGCTTTTCGTAAAAAGCGTAAGTTCTTAGGTGTACCCAAAATCGGGGAATACACATAGAAAGTGCAGATGAATGGAGGAGTTCGGGTAGTATCACGGAAATAAGTACACGGAAATAAGTACACACAGAGAAGCACTTTCTGGTAAATGGCTGTATTGTACTGTAATTCGGATCCATGATTACCGTTTGCTTGCACACAGATAGGCACTGATTGGTAAACGGCTGTAATTATGACCCAGCAGTACCATTTACCTCGAAGTCAGACTAGAAAGTCCTGTATTTACATTCTCGTATTGGGCCGCCGAAATCTTGCACCTTCGGCTCTAAAGCAACGCGCACTCTCGAGGGTCCATTTTTTGATCCGGGCTCAAAGGCGGACGGGGTTTAGGGATTACGGGAAGCTTTAGACCAGGCCCACACAAAGAAAAGCGCTGTTTTGCTGCAGAATGTGGCAGGGTCTATGTTCCGATCCCAGCTCAAACATGCAGGGCAAAAAACAATACTGTATGATACTGACGTTCTGTCATTAGAAATATTAAGAAATATTTGTATACAGACATGCACTTACCTATGCACTTACCTGCAAATGGCTGTAATTCTGCGCCATAATTACCATTTACATTTACAACGAGGTAAGACTAGAATGTAAATTGCTTACATGCCCGTCAAGGTGTGTTACGTTCCTGTACGTGAGAAGGCTTAAGCTTAGCATCCAGGCTTAAGCTTTGAGTTTAGGGCATTCAACGCGGAAGGAAGCATTCTGCATTCAGGATCCGTTGTCGCTGGCTTGAGGCTGTGTGGACATGAAGGGCTTAAGTTGTCCCGTTAGGGCCTTAGGGTTTAGGGTCTTGAGTTTAGGGTTTAGGGCTGCAAAAGGGTTTAGTTTTATGGTTAGTACTTTGGAAAGTCCCTCCACCCGGCGAAAAACCTTCTAGCACGCTGCGAAGACCGGTTCATCCCCCGACAGTTGAAGTTGCAGGAGCCTCTCCAGTTGCACCCCCTCGGCAAACAGCCGAAATGGCACCACTCCAGTCTAAGTAAACTTAAACCCCACGGTCCACGTCCTTACGGACCCTTAAAGGAACACCCTTCTCCCGGAACTTCGACGGCCGCGCCGTGCTGCGGTCCAGCGTGCGGGAGTTTCTCGCAAGCGAAGCGATGCATTCTCTCGGCGGGGGGTTTGGAAAAAGTGATAGTGTTTCGGATGACAATTACAGATTATGCATCCAATCATGGTACATTCCGTAATTTAGGTGTAATGGGCGTTCTGGGTTGAGGGCTTCAGGCAGGGAAGGAGCCAGGCTGGGTGGTTTGGTGAAGGGTCCTTTGAAGCGTTCCAGAAGGGTTCTTCAAGGGTCCTGGAAGGGTTCTACTTTAAAGGGCCCTGAAAAGGGTTCTACTTAAAAGGACGAAGTCGAAAAGTCCGAAATTTGGGTTTAGGGTTGCGAGACTCCATGTTGGGTTGCAGTTGCCAAACATCTGCTTGAGGTTAGCCCCGAACATCCCCGATTACATACTTCGAGGGCAGGGTTGTGGGGTTAAGAATGTTAATTACACGAACCAGGGATAGTGGTTTGAACTCGTTCAGATAGAGATTGAACCCTAAGCGTGACAATTCCAACTACTAGAAAATCAGGGCATCGCAGCTTGCCAGGTGTTCCAACGACCCGTTCTCTTTCACTGGTGGCCTCGTCCCAGCGTGTGACGCGCCCATGGTGCCCCAGTCCATAGTTGAAGGTTTTCTGAGAGAGTACCGCAGTGTTCAAGACTTGGTGCTTGTATCAATCCTGAGCTTCAACGCAAACATACCCTGAGTCCTGAGCCCTCAGCAAGCCACTCTCCTATTTTTGGTTGTGCGCTGTGCGTTCTGTGGCCCCCCCCTCCTGCCTCCCTCCCCTCCCCTCCGCCTGACTGTACTCCGAGGCTCAAGACCCCCAACCGTTCCACAAACAGCAGGGGGGATGTCATATGAACCACTCCAGCCAACCATTCCGCACGCAAGCTCAAGGCCCAAGCCGTTCAACAGGGGGTATTTGGTCATTCGCTTCCCGTGGAATGGCTGTGTGGTTTGATTTAGGCCCCCGATGTCCCCCGCCCCTGTGGCCCTGTGGCCACGGCTTGGGCCTTGAGCTGAAGGCTCCGGCCCTTGTACTTGGGCGGAAGGGAGGGAGAGTACGCACAGCACACAACCATACTATGGGCATGAACGCCAAGAAACGCTACAGCCTTTCGAAATGACGGTAGCACCCAATAGCACCGAAACTCAAAGCAAATAAACACTTGACCAGCTAAACCCCGAACCCTTGCACAACCCTTAACCCTAAACAAGCTCGGAGGTACCTGCCGCCGGGCCTTTCGTCCCCCACCGCGCCACACGCTCCGAGCTGTAACCAAGAGGACGCAGCTTCGGACGTATTTCGGCTTAGGCTTTCGGTGGGGTTGACTAGGGTTTGGGGTTTAGGGTGGTCTTGGGTGTTGTTTAGCTTGGGGCTCGTGGGGTTTAGGCTTGGTGCATTTGGAGAGTTTCTTGAGGCTGCGGGACTCAAGAGTTCAGGATTTTGGGGCACGTCAGGGCTGAAAGGTTTCGGCGTGGGGTGTTAGGGAGTTTGGGGGGGTTTAGACATACGTGCAAGAGGCTTTCGTGGTCCGGGGCTCACAGGGATAAGTTGTACGGCTGAGGCGCACCGGGGGTTAGGCTTTGAGATTTCAGGCTTAGGACATTTGAAGGTTTGAGGCCTAAGTCTTAAGTTTAGGGTTCGACGGGATTGATCGAGACTTTCGTTGGTTACCGGCACCTTCGAAGCACATGTTGCGTTATACACATTGGATTTGTGCTCAACACAAAGCTCAGGAGGCATACCCCAACCAAACCTTAGCATAGAGTTGCCACAGAATGCCACAGAGGTGTCACATCCAATTAAATCTTGTTCTCATTCTCATGGCCCTGCAGTACATTCATCCGTCGAGTCTTGATCGGTGCTGACCCCTAGACATCCGAAACCTCCGCAATTCACAGGACTTCCAAACTCTGGTGTGTATATCCTATAGGGGCCTTTATAGTTAGAATAGGGTTTGAGGTACATTATACTATAAGAATAGTAAGGAGCCTCCGTACTTACTAAAGCCCCTACATTATAGAGACTACTGAGACCTCGGAGCTGTTGGTGCCCCGGCCGGGGCTTGGTTGAAACCCTCGGTCGAAATGGAAATCTGAAAACCAGGACTCAAGCCCCTAGACCCTGAACCCTAAACCCTAAGCCCAGGACTCAAGCATTTATGATCCAAGCCCGGCGAAAATTCGAAGAACCGAGAGGAATTGAATTTGGGGATCTAAGCTTGCACTGTGTAATATAGAGCCCTAATTACGACTAAAAATGGGGAGAATGTGGAAACTACATTTTTCGGCTCAGGGTGAAAAGGGGGTTTAGCAGGCTTTCAGCCTTTGCAGGAGCGTGCAGCCGTGCTTTGCCGCTGCTCGCCGTCCTTTTGGCGCGTGGGCCACGTTGAGCTCTTTGCACGGCGGGGCCCGGAAGAGCTGAACGATTTGCTCTGGCACCTCATAAAGCAGGAGCTGATGAGAAACCCTAACACCCTAAACCCTAAGACATCCTACCTGCAGCCCTTAACCCATTGAGCATCATATAGCGGCCTAAATAGGTACCAATACTAGTTTGGGCCAAGCCTTATTCGAATTACTAAGGCCCCTGCATTAGGCCTCTGTAAGCCCACAGCCCAACCCCTCAAGGCCCCAAACCTCTAGGAACCCTAAAAGCCGGCGGCAGAATTGAAAGCTAAGCGTCCTGTGCAGTGTGCAGTCTTGGGTTTAGGGTTTAGGGATTCAATGCTAGAAGGAGTTAGGGTTCAGGAGGCTATGCACAGTCTTGGGGGGCATCGCTAAGAAATCACCTTTATATCTCTAACCAGTGCCGTTTCGAAAACTGCTTCGGAACCTGGAAGACCATGCCAACTCACAGCAGCCGCAGCAAAAACGACACTCATGCTGGTCTAGTACTCACTGATGGGATCCTCATAGACATCACAAGTAAGGCTGTGGTCACCGCTGTTCGATAAAACCTGTATGTCTAGAATTGAACCACCTGGTAGAGACTGAGGTGTGTCCGACTTGTTTAACCCTGACATGCGGGCTCGTCCTTGCGAAGTAGGAGGCCAAAAAACACCCCTAAACCCTTGTGAGGAGCCTTGCCTGCCTAGGGCGACAGTGAGATTCGAAACCCTAAACCCTAAACTGTATAAACCCTAAAGGCAAACAAGAGCCTTGATAAACCCTAAACCCTAAACCGACTTTACGTCTCTATGTCAGGAGAATCTCCGCTTGCCCTCAAGTCGGCTCGCCGATTCGGTCGTGGCCTTTTTCGACGAGTTCCTCTCAAAGCAAGCGGAGCTGGTGGCAGAGTGGCTCAGGGTGGGATATGTGCATGGAATCTTGCCAGTGTAGAGGTTCGGGCTTTAATTTAGGTAGGGTTTAGAGTTAGGGAAGGGTTTTGGGTGGTTAGCGGCTTTTTGGACTTATGAAGTGACGGTGCAGTGTCTTGTGGTTTGCGAAGCTGTAAACCTATACGCTCGGCTGGGCCGAGAGGGGCAGAGCAAAACCTCACAGCTGAGCTTGCAAGCTCTGCGTCTCGGGGACTATGAGACCCCACGTAACCGGAAAGCGTAAGCTTGCCCATGAGCTGGGCAGATTAAACTGTAAACCCTAAGCAAACCGAAGCCCTGAAAGACCTAGCCAGCCAGTAGAGGCTCGCACCCCTAAAGCCATTTAGCTTCTTCACCCTCAATCCCAAGACCCTTAAACCCTAGGAAAACTGAATAGACTTAAGACCCTAAGCCCGAGGAAACCTGAATAAGCCCACGACCCTAAACCCTGAACCCTAAACCCTAAACCCCTAACCCCTAACCCTAAACCCTAAACCCCAAGGAAACATGAATTCAGACAACTGCCTTCTTTGCGGCCGCACGCTCGACTACGGGCCCTTTGCCTTCCTCGAGCCACGGTCGTGAACTTTGAAGGTTTTGGGTTCAGGCTAAACTATAAGGGTTTAGGGTGTAGTGCTGAGGGTGTTTGGGTTTTTTGTCTTTAGAGTTTGGGTATGGGGTTTAGAGTTTAGGGTGTATGGTTCGGGGGGAGCGCTTAAGAAACGGCATATTCCATCCCGAGTCCATAAATACTGAAGCTCTGAGAGCCGGCCACGGAAAGGAGCGCTTCGACCCTCACTTCCAACCCTTCACCTCCGACAAAAAAGGCCACAGCGGCTGCAGATGTGTTTCGGGGTGCCGGGGCGTATGCTCTCGCTTGTTGTGAGCTAGTGTTCGTTGTGGTCTTTGACGTTGTCATAGTCGTGGTGGGGCGTTGTGGTTGTTGTTGTTGTTGTTGTTGTTGTGGTTGTGGCTGTCTTGGCGGTTGTGGCTGTTGCTTGCTTGATTGCTTTCCTGCCTGCCTGTTTGCTTGCCTGTTTTCTTTTTTGCTTTGTTGCTGTGGCGGTTGCGATTGTGGTTGTCTGCTGCTGGTTCCGGTGCTGCTGGTGGCGGCGGCGTCGGTATCGGAGTCGGTCCCTCTCCTAAGTTTTCTTTGAACACGTCTCAGTCGTGGAAGCCGCGCGGTCTGGAGTTAAAAATTTACGTAGGGCTTAGGACCGTGGAGACCTTTTCCTGTGCAGTTCGATGTTGCAGACCGTAGATCGTATGAGTCGCACCATACGTATACCTTGCGATAGGTTTTGAGAATTGAGACCCCTATTGTCCCGATAACACCTTCCTGACTCTCTTGGTGCTCATTCTCTCTTCAACACGAAATAATGTCCTCTGGCAGACTGCACACACTGACTACAATAGATCTCAAAAGCCTCTTTTTATTACGGGGCCCGATAGTACCCAGAAAAGGTGTTGGTCGGGGTAAAGCGGGGGGACACCCTCACACAGAGCTTTATGCTTATTCCACGGCTTAGGGTTTCTAGTACTTTAGACACCTGATTAATGACGCCTCTTCGTTTAACGGCGAAGAATTACAAGAAGGCTCTTCATCTCAATGTCCTCTAAGGAAAGGGGCTGATCAGGGGTCTACAGTAATTGATAGTACTACTTTCAAGGACTTGCGGCTCGCTCAGAAAGCTTGCAGCCCCGCAGCAAATAAAGGCAACTATGCCTTCCAACGTCAACCTACCGCAGCTGCTGCCAATGCCACCTGACAAAGGTTTAAGGCTTTAGGGTTTAAAGGCCAAGAGTTGGAGGGT